TTTTATTTTTATTTGCCTAAAAATCGAACTCTTAAATATGAACTAAGGACAAGATAACTCATCCCTGATCCACTTCACATAAACATTCTATATATGCTGAAATAAAGGGTTTCAAAAAATGAATTTATTTGGCTTAGTATTTCTTTCTGGGTATAGTGTATAGGCCTGACGATATTTGTCATATGGCAGATTTAAATTCGTTATGGAGATGAGCAATCATAGCGGCTCTATAACAATCTACTTTTGGTTTTCTGTTTCACTAATTCATGAATCTTTTTCATCCATTTTTTTGTGCAGGAAAATAAATGGTTAACCATATCCCTTATGCATGAATTTTTTTCATAATGGCCCGATTAATCTCATAAATATTTTTCATTTAGTAAAGGATTGCCATATTTATATGACTTATTTCTTGGATCATATTTTCATTGGGGGAATTTATAATCTTCTCTATTTATTGATTCCTAAATTTTCCTATTAGTGAACTTTCAAATCTTCTGATTTCGAGTTATTTAGTTTATAAGCCTCATATTGACTATCATATGGTGTTAGATCCTAGAAGCATTTATTATCACTGTGACCTAATAAAACTGAGTTGACAATGTTCAACTATTACGATAAAGCCATAATAAAGCAAGAGAACCTTGATTGTTGAGCTTACTTCCATTACTAATGAAAGTGTTTTGGTGAAGAGATTCAAAGGTCTATTCCGCCAGAAGACGACGGCGGATTCCTCTTGACCAGCTGTCGATTGGCTTTACTAGAACATTCATGTTAACGCTGTTTCCGAGGTAATCTTCTTCTATTCCGGTAAAAAGTACTAAGCTTTCGTCCGTCATATGACAAACATCACTAGAGCAAGGTACCATCCTTACAACCAACCAAGTTACAGTCATATGTCAACCTCTTTTATAAGCAAATCACTTTTTAAGGATTTGCCGGTGCATTTTCTTGACTCGTTAGCTTCAATCTGGTTGTAAGTATGATACCTTGCTCTGACGATGTTCGTCATATGTCGGACGAATGCTTAGTACTTTTTCACTGGAATCGAAAGAGATTACTTCGGAAACAGTGTCAACATGAATGTTCTAGTAAAGCCAATCGACAGCTGGTCAAGAGGAATCCGCCGTCTTCTGGCAGAATCGACCTTTGCATGTCTTCACCAAACACTTCCATTCGAAATGGAAATAAGCTCAACAATTATAAAACTTATAGATAACTCGAAACCCAACTTTTCTTGGCATACATTGACCTTGAGACACACTGCTTCATCACATTTCTCAAAGGAATTTTTTCCTGACTTCCATATTATATTTTTACCTTTTATTTAGTCACCTGCTACAGCTGGATTTGCTTCCTCGCTTTGCCCCAACTCTAAGTTAATCGCTTCAAACGACGGTTCATTTCATGGAGATGTTGACGCGGCTTCCTCTTCTGGCCTACTGGAGCCATTAGGCCTCGATCTTACCTTATTCCCCTTTGATCCTGTCAATAGGCCTATCGATTACATCCCCACTCGTGACCGCCCAAACGATGACCCTCGTTGGATGTTTACTGGTGCTTGGGGTGAGCTTTTTATTGCCTTCCTAGTAAACCACATATATCGGGGAATTCGCTGATTTGGGTCCACAAAAATATCTAGCTGATTTTAAGTTTGCGTCGTTCTATAAGACCTATTTTCTCATATACGGGCCAATAACATTTATCAGGAGGCTTACAATTTCTCTCATTCGATATCATCACCGGCAGTGTAGTATGATTCGCATAAACCACGACCATTAAGCCAACTTTAGTGCAATCACTAATTACATTAGTAAAATATATTTAGTAGAAAGTGAGTTAATTTTAGTTATACCACTGTGATTTTTCCTTTTCGTAAGACTGAAATATTTATGATAAACAATGATTTATATGTGTCTTGAATGTATAAATGCATTTGGCATATATACCGTACTTATGCATACGCATGCATTATCAAATGTTCACCAAGCTCTTTACCACTTTTTACTCATATTATTTTAACTGTCTTTTCATAAACTGGCTTAACTTTACTGATTTTCACTATAAACCTTCAGTTCGTGGATATAAAGAACAAGATGGTGTGGCATTGTGTTTGGTCGCAGTCTCCTTTAGCTCTATAGTGTTTGTTAGACCTTGTGGAGCGTACCTAGTCCCGTGACCTCGTGATTCACATCATTGGGCCATTGGCTGGGTACATTCCCAAACGTTTCGCCGGTATCGTATTCGGCATCGTCAGTGAGAGGCGCCATCGTAGACACAGAGCTACAACTGGTCAAATTAAAAAGTGAAGGCAATTCCATTGACCAACTTTCTGTTCAACCGTTATGGCATCCCTCCTCGCATCTATTTTTTGCTCTACCTTCTAGTGTCGCATCTCTTTCTCTCAACCCCACTTCATATGGCCCATCCACTAATTCACATAATTCTGTGCTTTCGTTTCCTCCAATGTCGCCTAAGAGTGTATCACTACAAGTGGGTTTAGTGAAGCGTAATTATCCAACCACTAGTACCAGATGCCGTTTGCAAGACTCCTTCCTCCTTATTTTCATACCCACTTGTTAATTGGCCGCTGCTAAGCCTTAAAATCACTGTTTGGCTGCCTAAGAGCCTTCAATTCCTGCCCTCGATTACGCCATATTCGAGGATTTTGAACAGATGATCTCCATGTCCATCCTCATGCATAACCAGTTGCTGGGACTCCAGGGAGGGAATCTTCCTCTCCCTGGGCTTGAAACCCATGACTAGACTATCCTCTCCCTCATTCCCACCCACATTTTTTCTCATTCTTTGAGGCCCTATGTCCGGCTTAAGTCATAACTGCTTGTGTGAAAATGCATCGCTACCCCTTTATCCTTTAAATAGCGAAAAACACACTCCTTTCATTCCTTTGATTGGTATTTCCATATAATCCTAAGGGTACTGGGATGATGTTCATGTGTGTGTTGGCTGGCATCCCCTGTGTTCAAGCCTATCATCAGTCCCCTTCCCTTTATGCACAGATACCAAAATTACGTACAGCACCTAAGCATGCGCACTGATGACCTCTATCTAGCTCACCTATACCTATAGGCTTTAATTTCATATCCTATATCTCACAGATGAACCCCCTGGGTAAATTTTTTGAAAATTCCTTGTTTAACTCCTCTCACTACAGTCCCATTTTCTTGACATCCCTTTGTTCATCATGAACATCTCCTAGAAGATGTCTCTTCCTGTTGTTGAACAGTTGTCCTGGATCGAAGCGTCTTCTTTTTGATGCCCTCGCAGA